TGTGTGCCTTGTCGACTATATATATATATATATATATATACTGGTCTTTATTTGTGCATCCAGACAGTATCGACATTGAATAATCACTTTCACATTTAGCAGCGTCGTCGATGGAAGAGATACCTCGCACCTAAACGCGAAGTGGCTTTAACGAGTTTCGTGGGACGAGATGCGCTCTCGCAGCCCGCGATCGTCGCACGAGTTTATCGTCGACGATACCCACGACGACTCTCGGGAATGACTTCTGCTTATTGCGAGACGTAGGCGTTTCCCATGAGCGTTACCACGCTTCTCCGTAATTAGCCGCATGAATCAAAACGTTATACGGGCTTTTACGACGAAAGGTTGGGTCCTCTCGCTATCGCTCTCTTCATTAATAGATTCGCAGGTGCGTAAAAGTGAAACTAAGGTCGATCTCTTGAGCGCTATAAATCCTTGCGTCGGCAAAGTATAAGTGTCTATAGGCTCTCAAAGGAAGAGGAGAATTAAATCTTTTAATTGATTTAAACGTAAAATATTTAATTCAAGAACGACATTAAATTTAGTAGTATTGCAACTTTAATTTTATATTCTTTAGTTTTATAACTTTAATAATATTTGTGGTAATTTTTTTAACTGATTTTCTCCCGGCTGCGCCAAATATAGCGTCGCCTCAAAACTCGAGAGGTTCGTCAAATTAACGAAGCTTAGTCACTAATCTGACATTACTCTTCTACCACGCCGTTTTCGCTTCTAATGTATTATAGTCGAAACTATACTCTCATGACGCGTACTGTTGATGAACGAACGGTTACGTAATACCGTTAATTACGTATTGCTCATTAATTATTTCCATGCATGAAATCGACGAGACCCGCGCGCGAGGCGAGGTAAAAAAACCCGCCGCAGCTAAGTCTTGATAGAATGATCGTGACCGTGGCGACTCCCGCCTTTTCCGCGTCGGAGGGGAAGGCGAGGAGGAAGGGGGAGGAAGGGAGGAAGAAACGGATCGGTCGAAACGGTAACTCTTCCCTGCTCTCTCTCTAAGTCGGCCTTCCACGGCCAAACCAAATCGGCCATCACCGGGAATTCAGGCCGATCGGTATCCGACGATGACGATTAACGACGCGCGCGAGGCATGATCGCCCCGACGGGGATTTTTCTCCTCGGCGGGCGAGCGTGTGGTGGCCGTGGCGAGGAAAAACGGACTGTCGATGCGCGGAAATCATCAGCTGGAAATTTTTAATGCAGCGCGCACGCGTTTAACGAAGTCCATCCGTAATTTGCTGCGTTAATTACGGACGAAAATGATGATTATATAAGTACGTCGCGGTACAGTTAACCCAAGCGGGATAGCAACCGTATATGTACACACACGCAGCCCCGGCGATACATCGCGATGCGGTAATACGTATTGCCGAGCGAGGAAAAGAGAAGAAAATGAGTCACTCGTTGCCCGGTATATCTAAATAGCCCCTCTTTTGTTTCGCGTATATGCGCACCGAGGTCGTATATTGAATAATACAACAGTATACGTTGTGTTCAGCGGTTCTATAAATTTAAACCGCTCTGACAAATCCGGCGATTCGTCTCAAATAATTTTTTTTTCTATATATAATTATAATTTTTTCTATTCCGCATGTTTTCACGTAGAGTTTCTCTCGTGTCACCGATTCCTCAGCTTCGTCAAATAAGTGTGTCTCTTGTACCAACAATCCGGAGTGGTACAGAATGTACCGTAATCCGTCCTTGGCCACCGATTGCTCGCAACTGACAAAAAAGCGCATTCCAGCTATCGGCGTATCGATGCACCGGCCGGCCGTTCGCCTCGAGCGCGTTTCCTTGGGTTGTGCAACGTCGGCGCTCGGGCGACCGCACGTTGCTGCACGTCGGTCGGGCCCGAGGCGGTTAACGTGACCATCGGCGCGTGGACCGCGATCCACATACGAAACAGTGCGAGGTTTTCTTTCCTTCGCCTCCCCTGCGAGGCGAACCGCGCGAAGCGGACGGGGACGGACAGTCCTTCCGCGGTCTTTCCTCGCGGCGTTTCGCACCGGGTAGAAAACTAGAAATAGAGTCGCGTAGAGGGTCTGGGATGTGCGAGGAGATATAATGGAGTAATACCGGATTAAAGGAACTTCGTGCGAGAGAGATAAGGCTCCACGATCTGAATGATCTGGATACCGCGGCTGTTTACGGTAAGAGCTCGCTTGTTGCGCGGTTACAAACATACGCACGGATATTGTGTGTGTATTTATGTGTGTGTAGTTCCGATCGGTGTTTCCAAATTTGGAGAGATTGGGGCACATCCTCCGTTTCACTGCACGACCCACATTTTATGTGTTTAATATATTTAATCCGAACCAGAAATGCATATGAAAACTCAAGGCAGGGGATTATAATTATTTTATAATTAATTTTTTTTATTACAATTTTATATAACTTTCTTTTTCTCAATATTAAATATAACGATTATTATAAGCATAAAATAAAATGAGATTAAGGACAATGGAGGAAATATTAGAAATAAATCTAAGAAGAATTTTAACCTATCAGAAATCGTGTATTTCACAGTACACAGTTTTTGATAGTTTCTTGAAATTCTTATATTTATTCCTATTCCTAATATTCCATTGTGTTCACGACTTCTAAGAATTTCTTATATACTACATTCGTAAGAATCGTAAAATATTTTAATCGTGCATCGAAATCATTAATGCATTGGTCTAACGACTTATCTCTCGAATTTACATAAAAGAGTTACTCTCAATATTTCCGACGTTACTCACGAATCTTGTTGCACGCCGGCAGACAATGCAGCTAAATCGCGTTACGCGGTACAATCGAACGATCCCTTGCGACGATGTCGACGATGTTTCCAACCTGTTTTGCTGTCATCATCGATTACATCGGACAAGTCCCACAATGTCGAGAATAATTAATATTCAACAGCCGTGGTCTCTCCTGACTCGCACAGTTATTTTTCTTTCTCCCCGGTAACACGTTGTACCACGCTATACGTAAAAGAAACGGCCAACGTGACTCGCAGGGCGATTTTTTGACAGGCTCGTTCCAGCTATCGATTTTGGCAGCAATACGGGTCCCGTATGCAAATTGCGAATCGTGTTTCACGTTGACGTCCGCGAGTTGGAGGCTCGTTCGGCGATAAGAAGAGCTCGTCATCCCTTCTCGATTCATCTCTCGACTTGCGATTAAAATTTGACTCGCGCGTCTTTCTCAAATAATCGCGAATGCTATACAAAACTGATTTATGAAATCCCCTCTCGTGAAAAATCCGAGGATATATTCACGCACAGATACTGACAATGCAAGGTTACAAGTGTGTTGTTTCCAATTTTCGAACACGTACGAATACCTAAATCGAATTTAAATGTCGATGCACGATATTACCGAAGCGCGAGCGAGAGTCACTGACTATTTGCTGGAATTTTTCATAGACTAAATCGAACTTTTATTACAAAGAGTCAACAAGATAGTAAATATTTTAGACTCTGCGGGGACCAAGATAATATATGGATACTTGTATATAGCAAAAGAGAGAAAATAAATTTTTATTTATTTTTCATCGACGAAATTCAAATTATATGCAGTAGAAAAACAGACGGCGGGTCGTAGTTTGTGAATGGCTCGAATACCGAAAATAGTGGCGATAGTGCGTTGAATCGCGCAAGAGTCACCCGCGTAATGGCATGCGATCACAGGCTG